GGCAGCTTTCCCTTCATCGCTTTCCAATTTTTGGGAGTTTCCGTCCATGGTTTCCAGTGCTGTCAGCTGGGCGTTGCGATCTTAAGTCAGTGGTGGTTTTGGGCTGTCTGTGGCTTGGGATTTTGTTGTTTCCTCTTTTTTTGTCTGTGGAGGTGGTCTTTTGTCTTTTGGTTGTGGGTCATTGAAACCCCAAATACATGCCACGTGATTAAGTTGTCATGATGGTGTGAGTGTTTTATATTTTTCCTTTCTCTGTGGGATTATCTCTTATTCCTCTTGTGTTTCGCTGAATTTCCCTTCTTGCCCTAAGCCGGGCACTCTTCAACAGTTGGTTTGCAGTATTTTGGGCTTTACCAGTGTTTTAAACTTAGGTGTGATTGTGGCAGAGGAAGTAAAGAGTTTTTTGTTTTGAAGAGTGTTGAAATCGATCTCACTGAACTCCTCTAACTCAAGTATTTTAAAATTTTTTGTAGTATTGTGTAGTCACTGATATTGCAGTAGCTGGGATGTGCCAAATTAGTTCAAGGTGTAGAAAAAAGGAAGTGGTGGTATTGGTAAGTTAGTAATGAGTAACTGTTATATTTCTAAGAAGTTGCTGAGCTGATTGAGCTGTCCTAGGTTTTAATGCATTATGGTCAATCTTTTTATTCTATAGAATTCCATTTGCACATCTTAACTTCATGGTTTTTGAGCACTCACCTTCTACTAGTCTGTATGGATATTTGTCCTTTGAGTGGGGACACACCTCTGGGTTAGTGCTTGAGGCTGCACAAAAGTCATTGAGTTAATTGCATTGTTCCCTAGCTTGTTATTAATTTACCTTTTGCAAGATTGGTGAAATAAAGCACTCTAGAAGCAGTTATAGCGGTCTGTAATGTCTCATAGAGAATTCTGATCAAAATTCTTTGATTATTGTCATGATGAATTTTAATAATTTGTTTTTCCCATATAAATATATTTCCTTTATATATGTGTAAATGTGCCCATAATCTTTCAGGTCAAATTCGTATAAAGGGTCAATTACACCAATATAATTCTATAGTAATGAACCATTTACCAATTGCGGGTCTAGGATTGTGTTAAACTGCCTCCAGACTTGTCTGAGAAGGGGTTTAACCAGCAAGGAGATAGTTCTGAACCTCAGTGGGGCGACTTCCCTTATAAATGTTGTCTGAAGCTTCCATTCTGCCTGGGACACTTATCAAGTCTTTTTGTAATTCTCCATTAGGTTTATCTGATTTTTTGCCTACGATATGGTTGTTTTCTCTGTATTCATACGAATAAATTCTTTCTTTTTAGCCTTTGATACAGTTGTAAAATGGTTTATTCTCAGGAACCCCAGGTGTTTGTCAAGTCATTAAGTTGAGGAGGTGGCTCTGGGTCTAAGGACCTGCACCTAAGCAACTGAATGTTGATGAAGCTTTTGCAGTGTCTTGCTTCCCTTTTGCAGTTTGACTTTCATTGTGATGGAGTTTAAGAAGTCTCCTCTAAGCTGTTGCTTTTGAACAATAAAGGATTTTTAAAAATTAATTTTAATTGTTTGTTTTGTCCTGGATATCCCAAGTGCAGTATGATGCTGAGTGGAGGTGGTATCAGAAGAGTCTGCTCATGGCCTTGTCCAGTGATGCTTTTAGATATGTTCCCAGGAATGGATATCACTCAACCTTTGTAATCTCTATTCTGGTTTTGTATCAGCTGAATAGAAAAAATAATACAAATGCATTTCTTCTTTCATGTTTGAATTCCCTGTATTCTAGTTTGTGTCATTACCACTGCTCCTGTTGTTGTCTTCAGTTGCCTCAGAAAAGATAGAACGAATGAGGTCCTCATTCCTGACCTCACAGGATGCTTCTGGATAGGTGCATCAGGAGGACAGTGGTATAATGTGGAACTTTCATCTTGAGCGGTCCTGCTGTGTACCTGAATATATAAAAGAGCTGGTGGAAAAGCTCACCAAGTCACTCCCCATCATTCTGGCAGTCCTGGCTAACCATGGAGGCCCCAAGCACCTGGAGTGCGACCAGTGTAATGTTTATCTTCAGGAAGGGTCAGAAGTAGAGTCTGGAGAGCTACAGGAGTGTCAGCCTGACCTCAGTGCTGGGGAAGCTCATGGAGATCTTCTTGAGTGCCCATCATATGGCACCTACAGGAGATCCAGGGCTTCAGGCCCAGCCAGCATGGGTTTGTCAAAGGCATATCTGCCTGACCCAATCTCCTTCTATAACACAGTGACCCTCTTAGTGGACAAGGGAAGGTCCAGGGATGTTGACTTCCTGGACTTTAGAAAACTCTTTGACACTGTAACCCATAGAATTCTCCTGGAGACACCAGCTGCTTGTGGCTTAGATGCTCCGTTCTCCGAGTTAAAAACTGGCTGCTGGCCTGGCCCAGAGAGTGCTGGTGAATGGAATTACTTGCAGCAGGCAGCTGGTCACTGGTGGTGTCTCCCAGGGCTCTGTACTGGAGACTCTGTACTGTGCTGGTTTTAATTTTTATTGATGATCTGAGTGAAGGCATCAAGAGCTCCTGTAGTCAGTTTGAGGACAAGGCCAAGCTGGGTGTGAGTGCTGAGCTGCTGGAGGGCAGGGGCTCTGCAGAGGGATCTGCACAGGCTGGATCCATGGGCCAGGGCCGGTTGTGTGAGGCTCAGCCAGGCCAAGTGCTGGGCCCTGCCCTTGGGTCACAGCAGCCCCTGCAGCTCCAGGCTGGGACAGCGTGGCTGGAACGCTGCTGAGTGGGAAAGGAGCTGCAGGGGCTGGTTTCCAGGGGCTGGACACGAGCTGGAGCGTGCCCAGGGGCCAAGAAGGCCCATGGCACCAGGCTTGTGTCAGCAACAGCGTGGGCAGCAGGAGCAGGGCAGGGCCCATCCCCCTGGGCTGGGGCACTGGGGGGGCCACCCCTGGAATCTTGTGCTCAGCTTTGTTTGCTCACAGCAAGAAGGACACTGAGGGGGCTGGAGTGTGTCCAGAGAAGGAAATGGAGCTGGGGAGGGGTCTGTAGAGTGAGTCATATGAGGAGCAGCTGAGGGAACTGGGTGAGTTTAGTGTGGGGAAAAAGAGGCTCAGGAGAACCTTGTCGCTCTCTACAATAATCTAAAAGAAGGTTATACCCATGTGGGAATCGGCTTTTTCTCCCAGCAACTAGCAATAGGAAAGGAAAACGGCTTCAAGTTGTGGCAGTGGAGGTTCAGGTTGGATATTAGGGAAAATTTCTTCACTGAAGAAGTGGTCAAGCACTGGAACAGGTTCCCTAGGGAAATGGTGGAGTCACCACCCCTGGAAGTGCTCAAAAATTGAGTAGATGTGGCTCTTCATGATATGGCGTAATGGTATTTGGTCAAAGGCTGGGCTTGGTGATCTTGAAGGTATTTTCCAACCTTAGTGATTCTGTGATTCTGTATTTGGTGCTCTTCTTTTCTTCTTTCAGCTAAATGGGAGGTGATCATTTGTGTTTGCATGGAGCAGTGTCCTTGCAGTGGTGGAGGTTGTTTGAGCAGAGGAAACAACCTCTTTGTCCCATGCAGGAGGAGGCCAGATCTGCTGACCTGGGGAGATACTTCTGGGCTGATGGTTGGAGTTTGAAGGAGCAGCTGATGCTGGTGATGTGAGGGCATTTTCCGTAATGAGGAATGCTGTGCTGGTTGGGTTGGACCATGTTGAGTGGGGGTGTTTGGGTGATGGATCTCTCTGCTTGCTAATGATGTGTTGGAGTAAAGAAGAACAGAGGATAATGTGCTCTGTGTACTGCAGCAGGTCCCCATAGCCACTGGGATGTAAGCACAGGCAGGACCATCCTGGACCAATTGTGGTGGCCGTAGCAGAGCAGTGAGCAGTTCTGGACATCTCCTGTGGGTTTTGTGTCTTTTTGGTGTTTCTTGAGTGGAGTTGGTAGCGCTGGGGTTCTGTTCCTTGTCCAAATCTCTGCAGACCTTTATGAGTCCCCTCCTTGATTCTTTGAGGTGCACCTTGCCTATGCCACCCTGTTTCTTGCAAAGCAGTGCTCTGGCATTGCAGAATGGTCGTTTGTGGTGATATGACAGTCTGGAGGTAGCTTTCATGTCTTGGCATTATTGGAGGATCTGGAAGGGAGTGTGGTGTTGTAAAAGGAGGAAGTGTGCAGGACAGGCATCATGCCATTTGGGGCAAATGGGTGCCCCAGTGGTCTGGCTGTAAGAGATGCCTGGGGGCTGCAGGACCACCACTCCCTGAGAAGGATCTGCTGTCCATAGCTTTCAACCCAGGCAGGAGGCATTGGCAAGATGGGCTGTAGAAGGGAGACCTATCCCCTCACAGCCTGAGGGGTCTGTGTCTTTGCATGTCAGGTATAAGCATGAAGCGCAATTACCACAGGTTTGCTTTTTCGTTCTTTTCAAGTTTTACAAAAAGACTTTATTTCTAACAAAAGAATAAATAAATAAATAAATGGCCAGCCAAGTAAATAAATAAATAAATAAGTTAATGAATTGATTAAATAAGTAAGTAAACAGAATTCTGTGATAAATGGTGATTGGAATTAGAGTCCCACAGTAGTTCCCCAGTGTCCATGATCCCCTTGCCATTCATCAGGTGGATGAATACAATAAGTCCACAGGTAATAATTACCATCCATATCCCCAGTGCTTCACAGCTGTCCATGAGTGTGTAGCACAGAAATGTCCTCTTCCTTCCTCTCCAGTGGCTGCGGTTTGCGCATGGGCTGTGCCACAGACTGACCCCAGTGTCCCCACGGTCATACCCCTTTCCCCATCACCTCATCATTCGCGAGAGGTGTGACTGCTACCAAGCGATCCCAGCCTGGGCTGCTGCCATCACCACTCAATCCGTGGCCACTGGTGCTGGCTGGGGATGGGCGTTTGCTGTCCGTGGGTTTAGTGGGGTCCAGAGCAGCTTGGTGCTTCATTCTCCGTGTGAATCTGTCCACGTGTTGGAAGCAGACAAGAGCTTCGAGGCGGACGTGGTCCCAGGCGCAGGCGCTGTGGTTGTGGGCTTGCAGGAAGAGGTGGATGTCCCTGAAGTACTTGCTGATAGCGAGCAACGGGTTGCGTGGTGCTTTGAAGGGCCTGGTGTTGTCAGGAAGGCATTGCTCGAGGTGGTGGATGTGGTGCTGCAGTTTGTTGAGGAGCTGGTTGCGAGGCTGGCTGGGCCAGGGCTGGCTGCTGCTGCTTCCACTGAGGACGCGGAAGAGGTGCTGCAGGATGTGTAGAGCGGTGGCGGCGGCTTGGTGCGGCTGGAGGCTGTTGTGGAGGAGGGTGTCGGGGAAGAAGGGTGCCTTCTGGAGATTGCAGGGCTCTGTCATGCTTGGAGCCATGTCCCGCAGAAGCTGGAGGGCATCCCCTGGATCGTGGGTCCGCAGGTGTCGGCACGGGAGGCCGGTGGCCAGAGCCACGATGAGGAGCAGCAGTGCCATGGTCCTGTTCCACAGGCGGGGCTGTGCACATCCAGGTACAGCCATGGTGGAGCTTTGGGCGCTGTGCAGGAGCTTGGTCTGGCTCGGTGGTGGTGGTTGCTTTGCATGGAGTGCCGTCGTGTGTGCAGTTTTATTTGCCCCTGCCCAGGCTTTCCTTTCATCACCATCCTCTAGGTAATTTCCCTTTTCCGTTTTCACTTTTGTATTTTCTGTTTGCTTTCTTCTGATGGCTTTGGTGCTTGTCACTGACCAGGAGGGGACGCTGCTGTGAGAACGGGAGCTGACACTTTCTCAGGGCTGCTGCCAGGGGGAAGTCTGGTTACTGAGCTATTACAGGAGACGGAATTGTGGCAGAAGTTTTCCAGCTGGCTGTACTGGGGATATGTTTCAGGATTGTCTTTTCATCTGTTTTGTGTGTTGCCTTTTTCTGGGGTTTATTTAAAAACTTCCCTACCTACCAGCATCTATTTTTTTTTTCTTATTGCATGCTCTAATAATAATTGCATGTAATGTTTATTTGGCACGTTAATTAGTATTTTCTTATATTTTTTTATCGACAAATATTATTAGTCTCTCAATCTTTTAAAGTACTGTTTATATGTGTGTATATATATATATTTAATACTTTTTTATTTTTTCTGTGGCAACTGCAGCTTTGCTAGTGCAACAGTGTTTCCTATTCCTGCAAAATCTTGCAGAATATTTTTGGAGCCATCTCTCAGGCCCCTGTATCCAGTGTTAATTTCCCGTGGTATGTTGGTAGTTAGAAAGAAATGCACGGATGTCACAAAGCATTTTTCATCAACTATTCATGCAGTGTTTGTCCTTTCTGGATTTTGAGCTTTTTAAAATTGTGTTGTGAATTCTTTGTGAAAATGTGGCAGTGTCAGATAATCTGGGGGCAGGAGCGGGTGGGAATATTTCTATTTCATGTGCGAGTCCACTTGCATGTGAAAAGTGAAAGTGGGCAAAGTTCCAAGTGTGAGTCGTCACTGCTTGCTGTGTAATTTCCAGCAGCAGGAGATTCCCCGTGGCTGCTGATAAAGCAAGAATGCGATTTTCTCCTGAGATCTGTTTAAAATTTAACTCACGTAATGTGCCTACTGTTGCTATAAAGTGTCATTGTGGATTTTTTTGTAGTTTGGGTTCTTTTGGTGTACATTACATTGGGAAATGCTGTCTCTTCATTTGTTGCAAAGATTTTACAAATGTGTCAGCTGGTGTGTATGGTACCTAGGGAACTGCTGGGTGGAACTTAAATCTATTATGTCTTATCACTTTCCCTCTTTTCATCCTTTTCTGCTTGCTTTTTGAGACTATTTCTGATATTTCACTTTTGGCTTTAGGCAGCTTCTCCTTTTGTAGCTCAGGAGATATCTGTGACGTTTGAAGAGCAGAGTGTCTTCCCTGATATTTTCCTTTGGGAAGGCATGAACTGCAGACATAACTGCCTTTCACTAACAAGTTTTTAGTTTGAATGTGTGTGTGCACAAGCAGGATATTCAGTACTCATGTGGTTTTCTCCTGCCTGAGGTACAGTAAGGTGCTACCCTTTCACCCTCTTCTCATGCAGATTTGATGATATTTTGTCCAGTTTGTATAGGGGGAAAATGTTAGTGTTCCAGTTCATATCAGCTGAACTGTGTTCACAGCTCTTCTCTAGATCTTCTTTTTGTGGCATTTTCATCAGAAGGTTATGAGAGTGCTGCTTTTGAATAACCTGTTAAGACTTCTAATGTGAATTTAGTTGTGTTTTGCCAAGTGATTCGTGCTGGAGTTCCTAAGAGGAGGAATTACCAGAGAAGGAAAGGTTGATAATATAATGGCGCCGTTACAAGTTACAGAAAGCCCCTACAATACTAAAATTTTGCCACATTTCTCCATTACTGAACATGAAATATTGGGTGTTGGAGACAGGGACGTGATGCACAGAAGTGGAGCAAGGTGGAGGGTGCTGTCCACTCTGAGGAAACATTTGAGGCACTATGGCATTTGCAGAGAGGGGTATGATAAAGGAAGAATTTTCCAGTATTTGAAAATGTGTGGAAATTGATACATTACTACTTAAAGCATTATCTGTTTCTGGATTGGAGGTGATGAGGAATAGAACATGAAAATCAGGAGGAAAAAAACAGATTACCAGACCCACAGGTGGAGTTCATGCAGAGAGAGAAGGGCAAACTTCTTTTTTTCCCTTTTTTTCCCAAACTGCAGTCAAAATACTGCTTTGGTTTTGCTAGCATGTCCTGTCATTTAAACGTGCAAGCTTTCTAGTATTGCTTACCTTCTTGTAGAAGACCTAGAAGAATGATCTGAGGTTTCCACCTTTTTTATGCACCCTGTCAGCAAAAAATTTTACTGAAGGTGAGCACTCACCTTCAGTATGTTTTTATTTCTGAATTACATACATATACCCCTGTCCTAATATAAATATTATAAAACATACACAAAAATGAAAATGAAAAAATTAGAGAAAGGTTAAACAAACAATGTTTTAAAATTCTCTTCAGTTATATTTACCAAAGGTACAAAATCCATTTTCTTCCTGCAACCCAATGGGTTCGGATACACACCCCACTTTGGAGACTATGAACTGAGATCTCCTGTAAAGTAGTTTAAATAAATTTTCCAGTCATCCAATAGTAACTGTTTTTCTCTCTCTTTTGATGTTTTTGCTGTTTTTGTAGCTGACATTTCCAGTTTTAGAAAACAGGGCATGGTACAAGGGCAAAACCCTTAGATTGTATCTATGCTGTGATTACAGTCCTGGTCTGACCCCAGGCCTTTGACTCAAAGTGCTCAGTTCTCTTTCAGGCAGTCTCACTGGAAGATGACAGTTCAGAGCTGGGAACTGTGTGGGAAATCACTTAGTTATTGCCTTTAACTTACCATTAAGAGATGAAATACTTGTATGTGACACAGAAAGTGTCTATTGAAGTAGGTTTATTTTTAGCTTGAGAGGATCCAGGTACATTTTCAGCTTCCAGTCAAACCTCCTTTAGCTCTTACTTTTAGAATTTTCTTCTGTCTCTAGTAAGCAGTTCATAAGATCTGTCCAGCTGTGTTCCAGTTTCAACTATTAATAAATGGTGTTTTCTCTTCCAAGGATTACTATGGAATTACATTCCCGGCTCCTGCAACCTTGACAGGCAGAGATGGGAGCCTTGCTAACAACCCGTACTCAGGTGAGTGCTAGCTGAAGATGAGGATGGCAAGTGAGATATGCTGGTTTCTCAGTGCAGGTCTTCCTGCTGTTGCTCAAAGAGGAGCTGCTTTTCCCTTCTGTGGTCAAAGAAGCCCTTTCTTGTTCCTGCTCTTGCTCTTTAGCTATCATTGTGCAAAAATGATATTAATGCCATCTCAGATTTCAGCCAGTGGTTTTCATCCACTGCCAGTTGATTACACCTTAAAACTGTAGCCATAGGCATTGTAGTTCCTACAGTGATGGTATTAAGTGCTGTCATACTTCCTAGTAACCAGTAAAAAGGAATATTGGTTGGGAGTGAGGTAGAAGGGATTGATGTATGTCACCTCCTTGATAAATATGTGAACATGCTGCTCTGTAGGCTGCCAGAAAGTACAAGTGTTTATGAATTTTCTGCTTCATGATCACTTCTCTTGGGAGGCTGTTTTTGGGTTAATAACTGAATTTCCCTTCCTGCTTCTTCAATAAGGTGGCCCACGATGCAAGCCTTGCTTTCCTGGCCTTCAGCTACTGTCTTCAGAACTTTGGTGGTGTGAGGAACTGGACATCTTAACTAGTCATGCTTGACAAATAAACAGACATTGGCAAAAATATGCCCATCACTGCCTGTAAATCCTAACCTGCTTTCAGCCCATGAAGCTTAGCTAAACAGGTTAACCTCCAGGAGAGTCACCCTTTAACCCAACAACCATTGGCTCTCTGGCTATTTACCATGCTTCTGCTTTTAGCATGTTTTATTGCAATGATCTGATAGTAATGAGTCTGCTCAGACCGTGTAAGATAGGTGAGTATTGGCATCTCTCTTTATCAGTGGAGTAGCCATGGCACAGAGTTCTGTGCCACGAACAGGCAATATCCCTGTGGCTGTCAGGAACAGAGACTGGGTGAGGGCTTCCCATAAACAACTGCAGGCTTTCAGGTCTAGGATGTATTCTGTAGTTTCTGCTTCTGTTTAGAGGATATAAGTCCATTGAATTCTCCACCTTTGCAGTATCTTTGATAGCTTTTCTGACCAGTTCTTTCTTTCACAGGTGACGTAACAAAATTTGGCCGTGGAGATACCGCCTCTCCTGCTCCTGCAACCACGCTGGCCCAGCCACAGCAGAGCCAGACACAGACTCACCACACGACTCAGCAGCCCTTCCTCAACCCGACCCTGCCCCCAGGGTACAGCTACACTGGGCTCCCTTACTATGCAGGGATGCCTGGTGTTCCCAGTGCATTCCAATATGGGCCAACAATGTTTGTAAGTGTGACAGCCTCAAGTGTAACGCTCCCTGCATGCCTCTCTACCTTTGCTTCCTCCAGCCCAAACACTCCGCATCTTGGAATTATAGAAAGGTTTGGGTTGGAAGGTATCATCAAAGACTGTCTTGCTCCAACCCCCCTGCTGTGGGTGGGGACGCCTTGTCATGATCCGTCCTCAAGGACAAAATTCATGAAGGTTCTTTTCACTGATCTCAGGGGGCAAAAAATTGACACGACAAAGGGGGTTTTGCAGTGACAATCAAAAACAAATGTACCCATATTGAATGACCACAGCAAAATGCATTAGGTCAAAGGGGAATGAAGAAAAGGGAAAGAATAAGGAAAAAGAGTGGATGAAAAGAAAATAGGTGTATAGCTACCAGACGTGTGGATGATGAAGTCCTTCAAAGTCCAGTTGAAAAGCCTGTCGTCTTCATGTCAGGGGAGATCTCAAAAGCCCCTAGCTATCTCAGGGGTTTTTATTATTGAAAATTACAAAGGGGGGTGGGGGGAGAACAGATACAATAGTCCATGATCTCAGCAGTGGGCGAGAGCCATTGTCTTCTCGGTCCAGTGATCAGCTTGCAAGCTCACTTTGGTCACTTGGCCTCCCACACACCCCTTCCCTGCCCACGGCAGGGATTCCAGTCTCAGTCCTTGGGGAGGAAGGGGGAGCTTTTCCATATAGAGGTCTCATATCTCAGTCCTCGATGGGAGAAAGACTTCTCTCATCTCAGTCCATCTGTCACGGTGGTTGATGTAAAACAAGGGTCTTTTTTTTTCATGGAGTCTGCCCAAAAGGTCATTCCAGAGAGAAAGTCCAGCCAAGTTAGGAGGTAGGGGAAATTCCAGAACCAGTGTTGCGAAGTGGTGCAGGTGAAGGAGGGCACAGTGTCCCTTGCTTACTCATGGAGTGCAGTGTCCCGTGAGGTGAACAAACACACCTGTGAAACAATGGCTTGGCTTGGTGGGCGACAGTTCCAGCAGGACCAGGATCCTAGAACAGGATCTTTCTTTTCCCCTGTGGTCCCAATTTTTGTCATTTCACGACCATCAGGAGGCAAAGAATGAGGGAAATTTCAGACAGGCACACACCTTCCACTAGACCAGGTTGCCCAGAGCCCTGTCCAACACGGCCTTGAGCACTTCCAGGGATGTTTGCCATCTACATCTTTTCCAGGCAGCCTGTGCTGCCACACCACCCTCATGGTGATGACTATGTTCTCTATATCTAATCTAAATCTACCACCTTTCAGTTTAAAACACCTGGCCTTTAATCCTGTCACTACAGGGCCTGGTAAATGACTGTGTTCTTTATATCTAATCTAAATCTACCACCTTTCAGTTTAAAACACCTGGCCTTTAATCCTGTCACTACAGGGCCTGGTAAAATGTTTTTCCCATCTTTCCTATAAGCCTCCTTTAAGTGTAGAAAGGTCACAGTAAATTCTCCCCAGAGCCTTCTTTTCTCCAGGATGAACAGTCCAAGCTCTCAGCTTGTCCTCATAGGACAGAGGAGCTCATCCCTTTGAGCACCTCTGTGACCTCCTCTGGATCTGCTCCAACAGGTCCACAGCTTCCTCATACTGAGGACTCCAGAGCTGGAGTCAGTATTCAGATGGATTCTCATTAGAATGGAATAGAGCCAACTTCCCCAGTCTGCAGGAGATCTCCAGAAGCATGCAACGTGAGAAAATAGTTGCAATCTCACCCAGAAGAAAACAAAATATTTAAAAGGCCAGAACTCATGGACCCCTGTGCAAGTTTGTGTAAATAGCTGACAGCTGCGTTTTGTGGGCTTGCTGTTCCTGAAAGCCCTTACTAGTCCCTGGAGAGTCAATGTGAGACCCAAAGCTGAGTCAGTGAGCTGAGAGAGCCTGGATGGAGGAGACCCCATTAAGTCAGAGAGCAGGAAGTCTCAGGAGGAAGGGGGTTATTTGGGAAGAGGTGCTGCTCCAGGCAGAAGGGTGGATGAGGCTGTTTAAGGCCCTGAAGGCTAGTACTTTATGAACAGCCTCAGGCAGGAATTGGCGTTTACTGTGATTCTGTGGTTCTCAGGTTTGTGGGTAAAAATTTGCTGTTTCCATTCAGCATATGGAAGAAATATGCAGCCTGTTTTGAGGGAGGGCTGCACTGCAATCTCAGGGACATCCCTAGGAGAAATCCTGTAACACAAATCCACCGTAGCAAGTTACTGCTGTAAGCAGTCCCATGCCATCCCAGTCCTCCCAACCCAGACAGAATTCCCGACATGAGGTGGAAGGTGCCTTCCCCACTAGATGGCAGAGGGAGCTTGCGTTCCAGCTGACGGCACTTCTTGTTCCCGTCCTCTGTCCAGGTACCTCCAGCATCTGCTAAACAGCACGGAGTCAACCTGAACACGGCGTCGACTCCCTTTCAGCAGGCGAGTGGCTACAGCCAGCATGGCTACGGTGCAGGTGAGGCTGAGCCCTGCTCCCCCGGGAGCGCGCGGCGCCGCTCGCGCTCCGTAACGCCCTTCTCCTGCACCCCGGCAGGCTACGATGACTTAACGCAGGGAACGGCCGCTGGAGATTACAGCAAAGGAGGCTACAGTGGCTCATCTCAAGCACAAAACAAATCTGCTGGCGCTGGACCTGGGAAAGGTAACGCTTTGAGACTGGAGGATCCTCTGGAGTGGGGTTTAGTAGGGCAAATTCCCCGTGGTGTGCCATCAGCACAGCAGCCAGCTCTAAGCAGCCTTGTGATCCAAGCTGTTTCTCCATCTCCTGCATACAAAATGCTTTTCTAATGGCCCCGTTGCTCCTTCTAAACCTCATGGCTGAACTTTCTGTAAAGATTTGTGCAGCTGATGCACAGCTTGGTCCAATTATGCTTGGGAGAAATGGTAAGCTGCTTCCTAAGCCAAAGCTTTCTTTGCTGAAGCATATAGTGATCCTTCAACAGTGCTGCGAATTTGAAACTTGAGCAGTTCAGTGCTGCTGCTGAAATGTTCCTCTGCCAAATCATAGCTAGATTTTAAATTTCCTGGTAGGCACCTGAGACACCCATGTGTTAGAGAGGAGCAGGGCACTTCACACATCTCTGGGCTGTCCAGCTGCTGCCTGTACACACTCATAATGTTATGTCATGCCAGGAAATATTTCCTTTGTGACCATAAAAGCTGAAGAATTTATCCAGCTCATACAAAAGCTTTATTTGGCACATGCTAGTTAGATCTGAGAAGCATACACTGGGCTGCTTAGCACTATATGGCTCATTCTCATTCTCAAGCAAGTTCCAAGCATTTGCTGTGCATGTGAAACACCAGGTGGTCACACTCTTTTTGGTGGAGAAGCAATCCAGGAAGTGTCCAAGCAATGCAGCAGTGTCCAGGGAGGGTTACAAAAGCTTAGAGCAGTACCCTTGAGCCCAGATCTCTGACTCACCGAACAAAGCAGCTATTGGCTTTATTCTGATCCAAGTGGAATTCTCAGAGCCACCCTCTATAAAACTGTGAATAAGTGTCTCTGGAGCAGTGATGCTGATTCTGTCAGGGCAGAGGAGCACTGCAGACTTCACTCTTCTGTAGGATGTGAAAGGACAGGGGCTCAGATGTGTAGGAGATGCTGAGTCTCATCACTCAGGGCACTACTGGAAAGCTCTTGAGTGCTGCAATAGAGCCAAATGCACCTCTGATCCTAGGGGAATGCTGGCTTTTACTGGGCTTCAGTGCAGCCAACTGCTGCCTGGTGAAGTGCATTGGAATCTGAGTATTAGTGGCTGGGTATGGATCTGGGTGATTTATCCCAGTGGGCTTTTGCAGTGGGAACAATGAGCTGAGCCCTTCCTTCTGTTCCTACGTGGGGTCTGACATCATGGAGAACCAGCAGGGCAATGCTGAGGCTGCCAGAGGTGCTAGGAGCAAAGCTTGGGCTTCTGCTGGCTGGTGGGGTGGCATTCTCACCTTTGGTGGTGTTTCTGTTTTCCAGGTGTTTCTGTGACCTCAAGTAACACGGGTGTGCCTGATATCAGTGGCTCAGTCTATAACAAGACTCAGGTGAGGAGTGTTGGACCCTCCTCCCTCAGGGCCCAAGGCTGATGACTCCTACTCCCAGGCTGGCCAGTCTCAGGGTCAGCAGGCCATGGCATCTCTAACACTGGCTCTGTTTGCTGCTGGAGTGAAGTCTCATCCTCTGTCCCACTGTTTCTGCGGTGCCAGCTCCTGACAGCAGCTGCTGGCAGAGGCTCAGTGCTCCCTGTGCTGCACACTGCCCATGCTACACCATGCCAGCAGTGTCCTGGGTGCAAATGAAGTTATGGGTGTTAGCATTTTTAGTCCAAATAGCCCCCAAGCAGGTGAGTTGAGAGGCTGTTTGCTTTCCATCAGAGGGACAGGCCCCTAACACCCAAGGGTCTCTGTCCCAAGCTCTTTTCTGTGGTCATTGCTCAGTGTGCAGCTTCCCAGACAAAGCAGAAAGTGCTGTGACAAGCTGTGCTGTGCAGTGGGCTTTTGTCCAACTCCTGTTTGCTCCTCCCTGCACCCTCAGCAGGGGAAATAAGTGTCTGGCTGCAATCCATGCTTATAGGTAGGAAGCCAGCTGTCAGCTCCATGCTCAGGAGTCAGGCTTTGGCCAGCAGGAGGAAAATATTACTGCAACTTCCTATGTTTTTGTTGGGCTGCCCTGGATAGGTTGAGTAATTCTAGGCTGAGCCCACTCACTGGGGGAACGACTGATTAGGCAGCTGCTGCAATCTCATGTCCCTCTGAAAGGAAATAGGTCAGGGAGAAAAAAAAAAACCACAATGTCTGTGAAAACAGAAATTTCAAGAGCCATTAGTGCAGAAATATGGGTGAGAACAGGAGCTGAAACTCATCCTCTGGTGTGCTTGCAGGTATTCAGTGTGACTTGGCTTCCTCGTGGGGTAGGTGAAAGGTTCAGGTGATGTGTGTTTGGGCCACTCTTGTTCTGCTCTGGCTGGGTCTACTCACACCAGTCTCTGACACTGTGCCCATTGCTCCCTGTGCAGACGTTTGACAAGCAGGGATTCCATGCTGGCACCCCACCTCCCTTCAGCCTGCCTTCTGCTCTCGGATCCACTGGGCCCCTGAACCCTGGTGCTGCCCCGGGTTATGCTCCAGCCCCGTTTCTCCACATCCTCCCTGCGCATCAGCAGCCTCATTCCCAGATGCTGCATCACCACCTTCAGCAGGATGGGCAGGTGAGTCAGCCCCTTCTGCTGCTTGCTTTGCTCACTGGGAGAGGGCCTTGGCAGCAGTGGCTGTTGGCCAGCTTGGGGAGGGAAGCTGAAGTTCAGCAAGGGGAAATGCCACTTCTGTCCCTGGGCAGAAAACAGCCCCGTGCACCAATATAAGTCAGGAGCCACCTGCTGGAAAGCAGCTCAGCAGAAAAGGCCCTGGGGGGCCTGGTGAGCACAAACTGACCGTGATCCAGCAAAAAAGGACAATGGGATCCTGAGGTGCACCAGGCTCAGCACTGGCAGCAGGTGAGGGGAACTGCTCCCTGCCCTCTGCTCAGCCCTGGGGAGGCCACAGCTGCAGCATCGTGGCCGGTGCTTGGCTCCCCACTGAGGGAGAGACATGGATGTGTTGGAGAGTGTCCAGTGGAGGACTGGTGGAGGGGCTGGATCCTGCCTCCTGTGAGGAAAGGCTGGGGGAGCTGGGACAGCTCAGCCTGGAGAGCACTGAGGGAGGGGGGATCTCACCAATGTGCAGAAAGGGAAGATGTAAAGAGGATGGAGCCAGGTTCTTTCCAGTGGTGTCCAGTGACAGGAGCAGGGGCCACAAACTGAAACACAAGAGGTTCCCTCTGAATATTAGAGAAAATGTTTTTGCTGGGATGGTGACCAAGCACTGCCCAGGAAGCTGCTGGAGTCTCCATGCTTGAAGTTGTCTGGGAATGATGCTGGGCAGCTGGCTCTTAGGTGATCCTGCTTGAGCAAAGGGGTTGGACAAGATACCTTGAGAGATCCCTGCCAGCCTCAGCCAGTCTCCACAGTGATTGTGTGGAGAGCCCACCCTGCTGTGGGCTGGGGAGGTTTTGGGGTGTGAAGCCGAGGCAGGTGCTGCTGTCCCCTGTCAGGGGGGCAGGATGTGAGCATTGTGCTGTGATTCTGGGGAAAAATCAAACATCCCCTGCAGGTTGCATGTCAGCTCCGATTCAGTTTCACCTGCACATGTGTTTACTTTCCTAAAACTAAATATTCTCTGAAAAAAACAGTGCTCAGCTTTAGAGTCCAGTAATAGGACACGATTTTGTGCTCCAAATGTGTCACATCCTTGTCAGGCTCACCTTGGGAAAGCTCCTTTGCTGTGCCTGGCCCTGCTCCTCACTTCCCTTGTGCTTGAGCCTGATGTGCTTGGGAGGCAGAGGGATGGTGCATCCCCAAGCTCCTGCTTGGTGTGCCCATGGTTGCTTGGCCTGGTCTGTGGGATGTAGAGATGGTGCAGGGCAGAAACAGATCTGTTCAGGGGGGAGCATTGCTGCACTGCTGGGTGTCAGGGCTGTCCCTGGCGATGTTGGGGTGTGCTTGTCTTCCTGGGAATGCTGGTGCTGTGGCAGCTGATGCTCCTGTCTCCTTTGTTTCCCTTTTCTAGGGTGGATCTGGCCAACGCAACCAACCCAGCACCATGCAGCAAAAGTCTCAGGCTACCAAAACCGCCTATGGCACTTCTCCATACTGGACAAACTAAACCTGAAACCGGGGAGGGGGGAGAGAATGAAAGGAGAGGAGGAAGGAAAAAGAAAAAAACCAAAATAAAAGAAAAGAGAAAAAAGAAAACAAAAGCTGAAGCCCATTCTTGGAATTATTAGGAAAAGTAACTGCTCAGCCAAACATCTGTGCGGGGAGAACTGCAGCCAGCCATCCTCTGTGTGACTCGCCTGCTTCCTCTTTGAGTTGCTGTTATATGTAATATATTTATGTATGTATTTGTAAATGTAATAGAGCCTAAATGTGGTTTTCCGCATCTTGCAGCCTGTTTTATTTTCTTTGTAGGAAAACTAATTATTCATTTTCCATCAGCACCAGGGCATCGTTCTTTGTTTTGTATTTTAAGTTCTATGGGTTTTGCAACTCTGTCAGACAAAGACAAACTGCGCCCCTTTTTTTGGAGCTGGAGCCCATTTATTTAATGCAGTTCTAAATTCAGACAAATGAGGAGACCTGCCCTTCCAAAACCTAAATCAAGATGTGTCCTGTTGGTTTGATTGTACCCCCCAACCCCCAATATAACTGTTATTTTAGAGGGGGAAAATAAAAGAAAGAAAATAAAAAAGTTCTGTGGGCCTTCCCCTTTCTTTCATTTCCTCCCTCCCACCCTCTTGCTGTGGAAGACAAGCTCTTGTGGGCAGTTTCAACACTGTGGCCTTGAGCTGCAGTCTCAACTTCTAATTTTTCAATTTTTTAATAATAATAATAAAAAGGACAGGGGTTTGGGTTTTGTTTGTGCAAAGGTTTTTTGTTGGTGGTGTTTTTCTCTATCAAGAGGCTTTGGATGGCTCAGTGTGTCCTGGAACCTCCTTTGCATCATTAGAGGCAAAAACTATGTAGCGGTTTCTTAAATAAAAGTATAAGCTGTGTCTTGTACCTCTTTTTGCCCACAAAAGCCAGAGCTACTGGATGGAAACTTCATCTGTCCCTCCCCACTTTTTTTAAAACAAAAACCTTGGAGGCATCTCCTGGTCCTTCTTGTCCTGCACCGGTGCGGTGAATGTTCTAGGAGTTTCATTTCTTTATAGCCCTTCCTCCACCTAATAAAGATCTGATCATACCACTGCTGTTTGTCTGCATTTTCAAAGGCTCCAGGAGTAGTTTTTCAAAGGCTTCAGGAGCAGTTTTACTTTTACAGCCTGTCCCTTTCTACCTGCTCCTGCAGCAGCAGCCTGGCTGGGAGGGCAAGAGCAGCAGGTGGGTCTGACAACAGCGAGTTCACCCGTGTTCCCAGAGCTCCCAGGCACCCACAGCAGGGCTGGGGTCCGGGGCCACTCCCTCACTGCTGCCATGAGCAGCCTGTTCTGCCTTTGGTGTCTCCTGGGGTGGTGCTCCGAGTCCCTGAGAGCAGCTGGGATTGCTGAGGACAGAGCACAGCTGCAGCTCTGCCCTCGCTTTGCTCATGAGGAGCATGGGAGGAAGGGCAGGGGTGTGAGAGCTCCTGAGGGAAGCTCCTGCCCCAGTCTTACCCTTCTGATCACCCTGTCCCTGTGCAGCAGAGCAGGTGGGTAAATGCGAAACACACAACAGGCAAGAGACTTATTCTTTCAGTGTCCACAAGAAAAAAGGAGTCTGTTTCTACCCTGAGAACCATTTTTCTTTCTCTGTTACCAGCTCTTGTACCCCGTGAGACCCAGTTGTCACCTAGGCCTTCCTCAGCCTCTGAGCAGAACAAGAACTGCAATGACATTCCTCTGCCCTGGCTTAGGGTTTGACACTGGTTGAACTCCAGCAGCTGCTCCAAGCCCTTTTCAGCTGCTGTTCCACTGCCAACAGCTTTGGGGCCTGAATGTCAAGGAGGGCAAAAATGTTTCTGTAGGCTGGGGCCCATCAGTTTGTACACGACTGCACCAGCAGCTGAGCCCTCACAGCAGCAGCACCTCATTTACCCACTTCAAAACACAGATTTCCACAGAGCTACCTTCACTCTCTTGAGGTCTTGTTTACAGACATCCAGTGCTGCCCCGGCAGTGTAGCTCAGTTCTTGCGTGCGTGTCACAGTCCAGAAGCAGCTGAAGCTGGGGAAAGGCAACAGGAGAGAGGTGGTGCCAGCCCCCAGCAGCCCCTGAGGCTCAGGTCTCACACCTTCGCAGCTGCTCTGGGGCCCTGCACAAGCAGACTCCTCTCCTCTCCTCTCCTCTCTGTGAGACTCAACAAAATGTTTCTCCCTTCCCCTGTGTTGTCACTTCAGTAGGACTTGCCTGCAGCAATTTCACTCTCTGAGCCCTGTTCCACTGATGGCAAGGTTGCCCATCTGCACTTGGCCACCAAGGAAAGAAGGGGAAAACCCCCCTTTGCTGCACCCAGCCTTATCCAGGGCAGGGTGGGCTGGAGCCCTCGCCCTGCCTTTGGTCACACACTGCTGCTGGAGGAAGCAGCTGCTGGCAGTTCTGGGCAGCCCAGAGCTGTGGGGTCAGGCAGGAGATACAAACAGGGCAGATCCCAGACAGCACCATCCCTCCCGGCCCCTTTCCGTAGATTGGAGATTGCTTTGGGAATGCAGCTCCAAAATGCCATCGCCCTTCCTCCGGCTCAGCTGTGCAGCAGAAGCAGCTGGGCTCCAGCCACATTTGACTCAGCAGTTGCTGCGCTGCCATCGATGCCAAGCGCAGCCAGTGCAGCTCCCTAACACTTGTCCCGCTAATTTTAGCTCGCCTGCAGCAGCCGGGGCACTGCGAGCACCCTGCTCCTCTGCCGGGCCTGCAGGGAACAGCCCGGCACCGCAGGGCTGGCGGCCGTGACCTCGATTTCTCTGCCAAAGCTGCTCCCTGACCCAGCGGTCAAACCCCTCCTCCTCCCTGCCCAACCCTCTCAGGAGCACCGAGCTCCTGCCCGCCAGGGCACCGGCAGCTCTGGCCCGAGTCCTGCATCCCTGCTCCAGTCACATGAATCCATGACCACCTTCTCACCTTCCTGCTTAGGAAGACTAAATATAACAGCAAAGGTCTGGCCTTTTGCCAAAGCCCTCTAATTCCTAATTCAGTTTAGTCTTAGGTGCAGGCTGTCAAACAGCAGCATTATTTTGCAATAAACTTACAGATATTGGTGTATAAATATGTCCATTGATACCAGAGGAGCCATGAACTCATCAACAGCTGTTACTCAAAGCTTTGAGGAACCCATGCAATGCAACCAGCTCAAACATGAAAGTAACAGCACGGAGATATTTTCATTTCACATTTTTATTAGTAGACAGATGTGCAGAAAAGACAAAATATAACTACTGAAGGAGAAGACAACACAAAAATGCATCAGTTAATTCTTTCTGGTAAATTATACTGAAGAAAAAAAGGAAAATATTTGGGAGTTCAGCTAAGAAAACTACTAAGAAATCTAGTGTTCCCTGCTGGTTTCAGAATGGTTGAAAACTGCATTTGAAGGGACACGTAGCTGCAAATGTAAACGCTAATATTGACTGAAACAGGAGAAAAGGGGTTAAGAAAAACCCAGAATACACAGAGCAGGTAAACATTTTTCTGCAATCTCTTAAATAGTTTCAAAAAAATCCCCTCATACTTCAGTTGTATTTCAAAAAAAGGAAACCAGCAAGTCAACAAGCAATGACACTGCACAGGACAGTGGGGAAGAGAAATTAGTCTGGTTAATGTCGGAGCTCTCAAAAGAGGTTGCTTTTTTTGTCATTAAAAAAGGGTAACAGAAGAGTCATAATAATGCATCTTACAACACCAAGCTTGGAAATACAAGTCACTGGAGAGTATACAGTGAAGACGGTCAAAAGTACAAGGGAAATCCTGAAAGATGCAGTATCCTCATTTCCAACCAAGCCATCAGCAAAGCCAGTGTTGCCACACCCTGCTCCTTCACCCCCCACAGCCGCCTGGGAGCGGGAGCTTGGTGCCCCTGCCCCGGCGTGGCCCCGAGTCCAGTCCTGCAGCCGGGAGCATCGGGGCCATTTGCCAGCGCTGGCGCGGCCCTCGCAGGGCTGGCGTGAAGCTGGGGGTGCCCCACACCGACACTACACACAGGGGAGCCCCGCTGCAGGCTCCAAAAAGCACCTGGGGCTAAGTCCTTGCTGGAAGAAGGCTGACACCTCAGGAGGGTGCAGCTGCCTCCCCAGGTAACACGCAAGCCGGAGGGCGGGCGGCCGAGGGAGCCGCTCGGGCAGAGGGATGCGCGGCCGGGGCAGGGCTGGCCCTGCCAACCCCAGCCAAACAACACTTCGGAAACAGATCTGCCTCGGGGCCCCGAGGCCTTCCTCTCCTCTCCTGTCATCTCCGTCGGGGCTCGGAGCTTTCGCTCAGTCTTGCCCCGGATCCACAGCAAAGGCTGCTCCCACCGAGGCACCCCCGAGGGACCCGCGGCTGGGGACGTACCATGGAAAACCCTGAGACACGCGGAGGGAGGCGCAGCTCTGGTCAGGGCGATGCCCCTGCACCTGCGGGGACCGAGGGTCCCGCCCGAGCAGGGTCAGCATCTCCGGGCTGCCAGGCCCGGCCGCCGGTCCAGGGATGACGCCCAAGGGGAACTCGGGCAGCGCAGCCAAACACGAGCGCGCTGCAGCGGGGAGAGCCGGAGGAGAGGGGTCTGGGACGGGAACATGCAGGATCCCCCTGCCCGCCACGGAGCGCCCTGAGCTCTGCCAAGGGCCCCCAGAAACACGCGGGAGGCTGAGCCCGGGGCACCGGCTGAAGCTCACTGCTGAAGCGCCTGTCACACCCTGCTGGGGCTGCAGGTGGGGCAGGGACAGCCCGGACACCAAAACCAGCTCCCAGCTCTGCCGGCCCCGCGGGCTCTTCTCTGAACTCCTCTGGGAAATGCATGCAAACTACTTCTCTTAAAAAAAAAAACAAACAAACAAACAAACTAAAATCTAGTCTTTGCTATCTCTTACCACTCTGCTGAAAAACCACAGTAAATAATTTGGCTCCATAAGAATGCAAGTGGTGGAGGAGAACAAGCAGAATTCCCCTCTCTTAGGAGCTTTTCTGTGTGTAGTTGAAACCCCAATAACTTCAGCTTCCATGTTTAGGCAGAGAATTAGGAAGGAAGTCAATGCCTAAGAAAGGTAGGCAGAAATCCAGACATCATCAGGGAGCTAGGATCTCACACTCTATCACTTGGATTGTCTTTTTTGAAATCATAAACCTTTTTATCTCCCCTATAATTAATTACCTTTCCTGTGAAGACAAACCTAGATTTAAGCAAGTGCATGTCAGGTGTTTTTAAGCTCAGCTGTGCAGAGCTGCACCTGCCCACAGGTGACCTACACAAGCGACAGAAGGCAGCTCCAGATGCACAGGGCTGGGGCTGCAGGGAGCAAGGGCTGCCAGCCAGCACGGGGCAGGAGCCTGCTGGCCTGTCCCACTGCCAAAAATAAGTCCAGCACAAATGGTGGCCCTCTGGGCAGCAGGATGCACATCTGCTCTCCTCCCTCCAGAGAGGGGCAGCTGGCAGCAGATCTCAGCAGAATGGCTAAGCTGAACTTTTTCAACCCTATCCTAGTCTGGGGGAAAAAAAAAAAAAAAGAAAAAAAAAAAGAAATAGCAACCCAGGGCTCAGTTGTACAGATGAGAAGTGTTAAGTGTTTATTTTAGGTTCATATCACAAGCCTTTTCCAGAGACAAAGCTGATTGTGCCCTCTGGGGCACCGGGGGCCAGCTACTTCCTAACTTAGCAGGCTGAAAAGGAATACTGTACCTTTCAGTGACATCCCATCAAGCTCAACACACAGTAGCTTTACACTCTCCGCCCCACACCTTATAAAGGAAAAGCCACCACCACAAGGCTAAACGAATGTACACACGCTATTATTGTAAATGGAGCAGCTAAACCTTGGCAATTTGCTGTGGGGATTATTTTTTTCTTCCCAGTAAATGCAGCACTTTGAGCTCCCAAAAACCTGGCTTCCAATGGGTTTGTTCCAGCTTTAAATACATTAAACATCTCAATGCAAGACTGTATTTAATTCAAGAATCTAAACACGAGCAAACCTGTTTTGCTGTGAGCATTTCGTAAAGAAGTGAAAAGGGGAGTTTCTTTTTTAAAAAGAAATTGTAATACAGTGATGAAAGGGTTAAGAATGCAAGAATTCAGACATTCTGTGGAGGGTCTCTAAGAGGTCCATAAAAAAGGAGCGAACAGATCCATACAACAGGAGACAGCAGGAGACAAAGTTTTGTGTTGGGTTTTTTTTTTTGTTTTGATTTTTTTTTTTTTTTGACACCCCCCCCCACTTTTTTGCTGGACTGCTGCTAGGTTACCGCTGCTCCCTTCTGGCCTGAGTCGGCAGGGCAGTACAGGGGCATAGAGGGAGCAGGTCACGACTCCTCGTTGCCAGAATCATCGTCATCGTAACAGTCGGCATCCTCCTCCTCCTCGTCTTCATCGTCAATGTCGTCGTCGTACAAGTCGTCGTAAAGCAAATCTGAACTGTTGTCATTGGAAGGCACTTTAGTTTTGATGCAGTACTCTGCCAGTGTAGTGGGGACCTTCACGCCATCCTTCTCTGCCTCAGCTTTGGTAGCCAAAACCTGTTTCCTGTGGGGAGAAGGACAGAGCAGGAATGTGAGCAGGGCTGTGTGCCAGCGGCTCAGCTCCCCACCCTCCTCTCCAGGCCCTGTCCAGCCCTCCTGGCAGCTGGGGAAGGGAGCTGAGGTTTGCAGGAAGCACCACAAACAGCACTGGAAACAGATTTGGTTTCTGCAGCCTCAGGCCTGGAAGCATGCCAAGGGGGTTTGCAGCACACATGCTCTCAGCAACACATGAAATCAGTTATTCCACAGGCTCTGCACCAGAGACCTGCCAGAGGCCAAAGCAAATTCCATTCGCTACTGTAGGGATGGTCAGGGATTTCCTAAGATGATTTATTGACTCTGCTGTTGACTACTCTCCCACAGCATGCTCAAAACTGCAATTTCCACAAGCCTTTGGCAGCTCTCAGCTCCCGCTGGAGGGTCAGAGCAGCTGGGGCACATGGCAGCACCCCAGGACACAGCCCGGGGCTCACAGAAGCCAAGTGTTTTCCATCACCCCGAGCCAGGCCTGGCTGCTGCATCCCAGCAGGGAGGAGCAGATGGCAGCCTGTCCTCTCAGCCACCCAGGGCCCCTCAGTCTGCCCTTCCCTGTGTGAGTGCACCCAGCTCTGCTGGAGCCGAGGGAGCTGGAGGATTCTCTGCACAGGCAGAGCCCGGCTGGCCCCACCCAGAGCCACATCCTGCCTGCCCAGCTGGCACAGACAATGCAGACGTGGCCTCGGGCCAGCAGTCCTGCTCCAGGCTGGGCTGTCCCTCCACAGCAGCCCTGGCCCACGCTCACATAATCCCCTGCAGCTCCTGATGAACCATGGACTTCTCCAAGGGCAGGACTGAGCAGTGGCTCCAGCTAATCCAACCCATCTCTGCAAGCCCTTGACAAATCCTGCTGATGCTCCTTTGAATTGGAGGGACAAGATTATGATTCATGCATGCATTAAGAACAGAAATTAGTAGGATGCAGTCAGTTTGCATCACATCCCAAGCAATGCAGGACTTAAAGACAAACAGGGACTTAGACTGGGATTTACTAGTAGCCAACAGGTTTTGCACAGCATCATGACAGATTAGTCTAAAAAAAGAACAATTTAAAGACAAATCAGCCCAGTCCTCCTGCCCCAGAAGTTTGCACTGCTTCTGTGTGCTGGAAATTCCAGAGGGACCTGAAGCATGGACTTTGAATAAGACACTGAAGTTAACTTCCAAATTACACTGAAGTTAACTTCCAAATAAGACACTGAAGAGACACTGATGTTACTTCCAAACTACATTCTGCTGCAAGAAGCTGGTTTCAGCAAATTCTGGAAGCAGCCTGTTTGACAGGACTCAAAGCAGAATGCTGCTAGCCCAGCATCACAACTGGCAAAGCTTACCTTATGATTTCGGCGTACTCCTTGTCTTTTCCTTTACTGTCCCTCCATTTCCTGAACATGACTGATGCATCCACATTGGCTGGGGAGAATGTGTTGGGCTCATTAAGCAAAGAGATTACACTCAGTAAGATAGTCCTGAAAGAGGTAACCACAACAGCAGTTAGAGCTAATGCATTCATGGATTCTGGATATCCACAACTTCTTTAGGTGTTGCATCATAAACTTGTTTGCAGTCAAGTCGTAAGCTGAGGACAGAGTTTTTAGGTGAGAACAGGTATTTACGAACCTCGGGCCCTGGACATTGGTGTAGGGAAGGTGATACAACACAAATCTCATGTGACTACAAACCACTGTGTCTGTGCTTGGAACAGAGCAGCACAGAAAGCTACAATCAGACCAGAATTGTGTTGTGCATAAATAGTTATCTATGCACAAGACATAGATACAATTATCTTGACAAGATAGTGCATCTTGTCTGCACTATTCACACAAAGGATGGGGCTGGAAATCTGTTCTGTGAGCTGTTCCTGGTGGCTTGCAGCCTCCAGCAGGAAGCCAGGTTGTTTGCCTGTCCTGCATAAGGAGAAGGACCACTACGACCCAAGGCCAGCAGAAAAGCTGCACTACTTTTCCCCTGCCCTGCCAGGTGGTTGGGAGGCTGAGGCTGGGGCAGGACTCTCCTCAGCTCATGCCCCACTCAGGCTGCAGCAGCAGCTCTCAAGCACAGCAAGGGGAAGGCAGTGTAGATGCTTTTCAATGCCCAGGCGAAGTGCCAGGGCCCAGTGGGATTCAGCTGCTGTTACTCAGCACAGCCAACATGAGCCAGTCATGTAACCCCTGTCAGGCAGGTGGGCAGGCAGACAGTCTTCCAGAATTTCCAGTCAGGTGCCCTGCTCTGCTGGCATTTACCAACCTCTTGCTCAGAGCTTTCTCCTGCAGTTCCTAGAACCCTACACTTGAGAGCTGCAGCCTTCGCTGCTCACACCCTGCCTCAACCAGCACAAACACCCACACCAGCCACCGGCTGTAGCTGCCACCACGAGGCACCACTCATCCCAGTGGTCCTGCCAGCAACAGCTTCCCTTGCAAGTGGAAGGGACAAACAAGGGACAGGGAATAGTTCTTGAAACACAGCATTACCTTTGCAGACCTTGTTAAAGGAGACTGGGAGCCGCAGTCCTGTTTGCACTGATTCAGGGCATGTTCAGAGCACATCTACCAGATCATATATCTGGGTACAATTCCAGGAAATGCTTGGTCATTTGGATACTCAGTATCTTGAAAGGTTTTGAAAATAAACACTTGTATCTGAACAGACTGTTCAGCACAGCTATCAAGAGAGTCTTATACAATTCATTTTCTAAATTATATAATTCTGTACGAAAAGAGAACAGCAGCTCTGGAAGAAACTGTCTCATTGGATTGGAATGATGGGCAGAAGAGATCATTTTCTACTTCATCTCAAGAATTTATTTACGAGCCTTTGATTCTCTGCAAACAGGCCAGCATGTTAGCTCCAGCATCATGCAGCAGCTTTCTGCAGAGCAAAGTCTAGGGAAGGCCAAGGACAGGAATTCATATTTCAATTTAGCATCTGCAGTGAGGAAAAGCCAATTTTCACTGTAGTGTCCAGACACCAAAATTACTGCAAAGCCACTTAAATACACCAAGACAAGAAGTATTAGAAGTTAAGCTCTCTGAGCTCTTCCTTCCCATCCAGCACATTAGATCAGCTCCATCACTGCTGATATCTTTAAGAGCTGGACAGTGTCCTCCAACTCAAACCTGGCTGCCTTGAACAAGGTACAGTAACAGAAAGGCATCCCAGCGTGGGGGACCTGACAGGACTAAAACCACTAAAAAAGTTCAACCATGTGGGACTGAAAACCTCAGCACCTGATGCCAACTGGATATAGGCTGAGTCTCTGGGATATTGTCAGGGATCTGTCTCCCCTTCGGACAAGGCTGCTGCAGCATGGAAGAGCAGCCAGGAAAGGCTCAAGGAAACAGACCTCTTCTTGTTTTTTTCTCCTGTATCTGCATAAGAAGGCTCAGACACAGATAAATTTTTTCCCAAAGAGACATGATGTAGATTGGCTGGTGCTCCCAACCAGAACATCCTATTATATTCCTTGTTGAAAAAGGATTTATTTTTTTTAAATTCCAGCTGCTATCCACATTGTAGCCTCTCAGAGCCACCTCAAGAGGTAGGTATAGGTTGGTCCAAGTGCATTTTTGCCTTCTGGTATAAAGTCAAAAGTTTTATCCCAGGCTGCACTGACAGTCATGTTACTGGATCTAGCTGTTTGTGGAATCTGCCCAGATCTCAGGCAGCAAAAAAAGCCAAGAAAAATGGGAATCCTCAAGAAACAAAGCAATAGGCAGACAGTACCTCACCTATCTACAGGAGATACAGGTGTACCAGTACCTTGAATACTGGCAGAATCCTGGCCTGTGTAGTTCAAGGGCAGGGGAGATGTGGAGAAAGCCAATTAAAATGATCACAAAGCTTCAACCCTGAGCCTCCTGCCACTCACTCAGCTCCATGAGACACAGGAAGCAGTATTCTCTGCCAAACAGATCTCAGCTGCATTCCTTCACATCTTGCTGGGTATGCTGTGTTTACTTATACCAGCATCATCTAGCTCCCAGTGATGGGAAGGTCCATACTGATTGTGTTTAAAAAAACAAATGAGCCTGCATGACACCCTTAGAAGCACAGGTGAACTCTTACAGTTGAAGAATGAATTTTCCCCTTCAGACACTCTAACCCTGCTCATCTGTGGGGAAATAGTCAACACGTGGCAGGATTTACAGACTTCAGCAGCAGAGGAGCAGCTCCCTCCCACATCTTCAGCCCCTCTGCCTCCTGTCTGACACTCTGGAGCCTTCCCAAGCCAGATGGGACCCCAGCAGGATGTGCTTCTGCTGGCACTTGCCCGACTGGTGATGGTGGTAGCAGGCTAGAAGTGAAGGACCAGTTTTATTTTCATTTGCTGAGGAATATTTTGACATGTCACCCTTAAGCCCAGGACGATTCAAGAGCATTAGCACTGAAAACTGCAACTGTGGTGAGGGACAGCAGAAATTAGAGAACAAGCACCATGAGAAGTTCCGTGTCAGTCTCTAGGGTTGAATATAATGAAATACTCAAAATGTATGTGTGATATATGTAATTGATGCCAAAGCTGTTTCCTAACTGTGAGTTAAGGCTTGTCGTCTATCTGATTCTTTATTTGAGAGTGTCTTGTAATGAGAATAAAATTCAGCTGCTGTTTCAAAAACATGGACAGGCTAGGCCTTGAATGTCTCTGGTACTTAGTGGTCCTTTGTATTTTTGGCAGGAAGAAAACCAACAGCTGCTCCCACCACCACTCAGGAGGACAGGAGACAAACAATGGAAGGCAAACAAAAGGCAGAACTCTGCAAAGTTGCTTCTACTGGTCAGAATACTCAAACACATCCTGTGTTGGGTTTGCAGAGCCAAGTTTTGGTAACAGGGGGACTACAAAGGTGGCTTCTGTGAGAAGCTGCCCAAAACTTCCTGTATGTCCAGCAGAGCCTGGCAGCTCCAAGGACAGATGTACTACTGGTCAAGGCCAATTGGTAATTAAATATGTTATGTTATCACATGTTAATATGATAACATATTTAATAAGAAAGAAGTTTTAATTGTGTCCAGAGAAGAGTGCAGTGAGAACATGTGAGAGCAACAACCCTGCAGACACTCAGATCTGTGCAGGAGCTCCAGGTACCGGAGCAGAGATTCCCCTGCAGCCTGTGGTAAAGACAGCTGTGAGGCAGTCACCACTGTGCCCCTGCAGCCCAGGGAGGGCAGGGGGGGCAGAGATGCACCCACAGCCCCTGGGGGAGGCCAGGCTGGAGCAGGGGGATGCCCACAGGAAGCTGTGATCCTGTGGGAGACCCATGGTGAGAGTGGCACTCACTGGAGCAGCTTGTCCTTGAAGGACTGCATCCTGTGGAAGTGTGACCCATGCTGCAGCAGTTTGGGGAAGACTACTGCCCATGGGGTGGGCTCAAGCTGGCAGAGTTCATGCAGAACTGGCATGCTGTGGGAAGGACCCCATGGTGCAGCAGGGGAACACTCCTCATCCTTAGCAGCAGGAGAAGCAATGTGTGATGAACTGACTACAGCCCCCATTCCACTACCCCCATACACTGGTGTAGTAGGAGGTAGAGCTGGGAAGGAGGGAGAGGTGGGGGGAAGGTGTTTTTAAGGTCTTATTTTACTTCTCATTATCCTGCTCTGATTTTGTTGGTAACAAATTTAATTAGTATCTCTAATTCTAGCCTATTTTGTCTGTGATGGTGCTTGGTGAGTGATGTCTCCTGGTCCTTATCTGCTGTAGAAGAACATCAGAACAACAAACAGGTAGGTAAGGCTGTGAAGATTGGAATAGCTTAGGTAGACTAAGGCTGGGAGCAAAAGGGTGAGCTACTTCTAGCCCCAGGCCAATTCAGAATATCTAGGATGGGGTGCAACATACAGATGGGCTCATGACGGAGGGGTGGACCTGACCACAGAGGTCATCACACAGGTTATCCACAGATGTGAAAGATGTGCTGCCATCAAGTGAGGCACACAAGTGAAATATCCCTGGAATAGAAGGCAGTGGCTGGGTTTCCAGTGTGGTGAGGCCTGGCAAATAGATTACACCGGGCCACAAACACGCCAAGGCAAGAGTTACATGCTCACTATGTCAGAGGCAACAACAGGCTGGAAATGTACCCAGTAAACGATGCCACTGCTTGGAACACAATCTCAGGTCTTGAGAGACACCTTTTGTGGTGACATGGTACCCCAGACACAACTGAATCAGGCAATGGGACTTATTTTCAAAATAATCTCATAAACTCTAAAGCAAAGAAACACTGAGGGAATATATCACATCCCTTACCATCCAAAAGCCTCTGGAAAGACTGAGAAATGCTGAAGACTTTTTAAGAGTTTTAGGTAACAGGACATGGAAGCACTGGAATGCAAATTTTGTAGAAGCCACTTGGTTGGTCAGTGCTAGGAGATCTGCTAACTGCACTGATCCTGCCCAAACTAAGCCCACGGACACTGTGGAAGGAGAGAAGGTCCCTGCACTACACACAGGAAAGTGGCTGGGGAAGTCAGAGTGGATTCTCCTCCCATGGGAAAAGGCAAACACATTGATGGGATTGGCTTTACCCAAGGACCTGGGCGTACTTGGCGGGTAAATGTGGAAGGATGGGGAGACCCAGCGTGTACCTCAAGGAAATTTAACCTTGGAGGAAAAACAAACTGTGTGAGCTTTATGTCACAGGAAGTAAAGGAACAGGAAAAACATGACCTGACAAAGAATGCATTTTGTGAGAAGTAAGGAGAATGTGATGATGATGTGAGCCAGGCTGGTGACCAATGATCAAGTGTGCTGCTTCTCCTGTCCTGACCACCCATCCTGATGGAGTAGAGCACAACTCATGGATCTGGAGGGGTGGAGGAAGCCATGAAGCAGGAGAATAATATCCATCTGTGAAAGGACAGGTTAATGAAAATGTATGTTTGGTATAGAGATGGTTCAAGGATGTAGTTTGGGCTGTATGTGTGGGTAAGAAGGGATTCCACTACTGAGAAAGAAATACAGTGGAAATTTGGAAGAAAAATAAATTATGTGGGACCTAAACATGACACAAATGGTATGGAATAAAGAGTGGGGATTGTATTGAGTTTGCTGAGCTGTAGCTTATTTTTCCTTAGCAGCCCTCAGTGCTTTCCATTCATAATTAGAAAGGTATGATAACACACAAGTGTTTTGGCTACTGCTGAGCAGTGCTGGCACAGCATCAGTGTTGTCTAACATTCCCCACTCCCCCATCAAGGTCCTAAGATGGGACACAACCAGGCCAGCTGATCCAATTTAACCAAAGGGATATTCAATACCATATAATATTAGCTCAGACATGAAAGCTAAGTGAGAGAGGAGGAATGGGGGACATTTGTTATATCACAATGTTTGCCTTCTGGAGAAATTGCTATGTGTGCTGAAGCCCTGCTTCCCAGGAAGTGGCTGAATGTTGCTCAGTGGTAAGTAGACATTAATTTTCTTTTTCCCCTTGCTTATGTGCACAAGCTTTTGCTATTGCTTTAGTAAACTGCCTTATCTCAAACACAGAAGTTGTTTTCTGTGTTATTTTTCTCTCCCCTGTCCCACTGGGAAGGGGAGTAATAGAGCAGTTTGGTGTGCACCTGGAACCCCATTACACATACTTTTCCACTAGTGGTACTTTGAAGAAGATAGCAGTGACTGAGACAGGCTTCAACATTTGAGATAATTTGCCTTTGGAGTATGAAACCTTGTGAATAGCACAGAAGGCTCTGCACTGTCAGCCCAGTACATTCAGACAGACTGGTAAGTCTGGTTCCCACCTGATTCAAGCCCTAAGCCCCACAAAACCTTAAATTCCCTCCCAAACCTCTCCCACCATATGCCTTAGGTCTTGTAGAGAGGGCAGGCCTTTGAGGTCACCCCTGCACAACATAGTCACAGTTACCTGACATTCTGGGTAGGGTTCCACCTCTCTGATGGCAGCTCTCCACTTTGTGGGTCATCTACAGGTGGATGAAGAATTGAAATACATACATCTCCATTCTGCAAGACAGAAAAAAAGCATTGAGAATAGCTTGGCTGGAGGCTGAGGCTTGATGACTCAAATCCACACGCTGGCTGTCTTCTTATCAGTTCCACCTTGTTGATATGAACATCCAAGTGCCAGCAAAAACCAACAAGGGCTGGAAATGGTTCTCAGTTCTTCCTGGGTCTACTTTATACCCAAGGGTTAGGCTGCAAACTGGCAAAAACCCCCAATATAAAATCAAGAGGTCTAAAGAATGTACTGAAGTAAGCAAATATAGTAATAATGCAACACAAAACTAGACTGGTGTCCAGATACCAAGTACTACTGTCACAGTGACATGAGGTTTAATCACAGGAGACCCCAAGTAGGGTTAAAGAAAATTTGTGTTCTCACTGGTAGCTTGAGCTAGCTACAGGAAATTTTTGAAGGGTTTAATCACCATCTACTAGCTCAGGTATGAAAACATTACGTCTCCCAGGACACCAGGACCTTGAACAGATGGTGTGGGGCAGGCTTACACAGCTCCCCTAGGACACAGCTGTTCAAAATACCAGATGAAAAAACAGGAGATGCTCTCTGAAGGTTTCACTGAAAATCCCTTCCAGCATGCAAAAGGAAGAATATTTTGGCAGCATATGGAAGCCATACAGCCACATAATCCTCAATATGTGTTCTACTCACCGGTGTTATGGCCTGAATATAGATTTAAAGCTCTATAATGCCTACTTAGGAAAGCTGTCAACCCAATTCTCCACCAGCAACAGCACTCTGACACAACTGCTTTGTAGGAGGGCTGGAGCAGCATCCATCCTAGCTGATATCCTCCACTGAGGCAGACTCCAGGGACTCACAGGGTACCAGTGCCTTACTGCAGGATGGGGTGAAGGTGCAGATGAGGCCTGAGGCCAGCCAGCAGATATTGGCCTCTCCAGGCTCCCTGGGCTTTGCAGCCAGCTGTGAGGCAGCACTCACCTGTCACCCCAGTCCAGGGCACAGACTGGTGACAGGATCAGCTCTGTTCAGGACTCCAGGCTGGAAGCTTCCCACACACCTGGTCTCATGTCCTTCCAACACTGCTCAGAGCACAGAGCAGGGCTGCTCACAGCAACAGCATCTGTGCCTTTGAGCCCAGGCCAGTAATCTCAGCTACAGATAGCAGCAGCTCACCTGGGGGGTTGTGATCTGTATCCAGATTGCAGCGGTGCACTATTCATGCCAGGTATGCTAATCTAGCAGGCCCTTGTCACTTTGAAGCAGGTTTTAGTCAAGAACACAGCAAGGCAGCACCTGGAGCTGCTGAATTCCAAAGCACATACTTACATTGCTGGAACAGTTTGCTTTAAGAAGGCAGGTTCCCTTTTAGGACCCCAACAGGCTTGTGAAGTCTTGAAATTTTTTTAGTATCACTCCAAGCTGAAGTTAACTTTACTAATATTAGATTATGGTCAGTTTACTCTGCTATCACTAATAATTTCCATCAGTTTTTCTTTTAACCTTTTCCTGGAAGAATGCAATGCTAGTGGCCAGAGGAAGTATCTCAGCACTTGGGAGAAGTTCCTGAAGCAATCAGGTCAGCAGCGTGTGGACAAGCAGATATTTGGCAAAATGAAGACAGAGGGAAGCAACGATGTGAGAAGGTTTTGTCTTGCCACAATCAGTGTTACATGTTTGGGAACTGCACTGTTTTAAGAATCTGGAAGGGTGAAGGTATAATAGGCCTGATGAGGTCAGCACAAAGTTCTAGGGATCAGAACAGTCAAGGGCCAACACTTTCACTACATGCATTTTTGAAAGACGTAAACAAGGAGAATGGGGTGTTTAGCTGCCATTGAGATATATTCTCCATTTCTATCAGACCTGAGGACTGTTATGTCATAAAAATAAAGAGCAAGTGAATGCAGTTTTACCAAAGTTCAGTTAGATGACCCAAGTAAACCAGAGATGGGAAAAACACACATTGCTCAAAACTGGAATGTCAGTCCCAGCCTCTCCATGTGGTCCTACCAGCAGATTCTGTAAACTGCTACTTTCTTTCATCTTCCTGCACCAAGAGGGGTTTTTTGTCCCCCTCCTCCTGAAAACTCTCAAACACTTTGCTGAGATAGTCTCAGTTTCATTTGAAGTTACCTCAATGCCTCATCTTCATTGCTTAAATGTTTCCAAAACAGCCTGCAAGCTGCTACAGATTCCCTCAGCTACAAGAAACACTGCTATGAACACAAAGCTGAGAGCTTGTATATTTGAAGAGAAAACCCAAAATACACATATCATGTTTTGGGTTAGTTCTTCCTGCTGCCTTCAGTTGTTTCTAGCCATTTTTTCATCTTTCTCACCAGGACTGGGAGAGGTCCTTTCCAAGGCTTGTTTTTGTACATTTCATTTTGGTAACCATTTGCAACTCACATCCAGCATGAGGATTTCCAGATTCAGAATCAATACCCACAGTATGAGTCTGCAATTATCTGAAGATTTCAAAGTTGTCTTTATTTATAGATCAAAATTCCATGTAACTGAAATAGAGCCTTAAAGAGAAACACCATCCTTGGCTACAGGAAGGATCCTGTGCCAAGTACAAAACCCACATCAGAAAACTGTCAGATAACTGATGTGAGGATGTCCCTGGATTAAGACAATCCCCTGGATCAGTTAGTAATTAAAGTGGGTTAGTATTCTGTTCTGCACTGAAGTTTGGCAAGGTTTCTAGCCATTTGTTACTAAGCCATCAGTGCAGTTCTCACCATGATACTTGAAGCACATCCATTCCAAGATGGGCATTTGGCAGCAAGAACTTATCAGAAAGGACTTTCCAAGCCCAAGCCATCAATTGAATGTTTTATTTGTTCATGGGATGGAAGAGAATGACATTCCAGTTTTCAGGTTCAAAGGAAGTCTGCAAAACCTCTCATAAAAAAAACCTGTGATAGGGTGGAAGACCTAACCAAAAGGAACATTTTTGAATCCTTTAGCTCCCAAAACTAGAGGCAGTGTTCCTTAGCAGGTTGACATTCTTCCAGGATACCCAAAAATTCAGCTAGGATTTGGCTGACCTCCACCAGAAGTCAAGTTTTGAACCAACACAGGCCTTTCAGCCTTCAAATACAGCTCTATGGAACTGGGTGATATTGAGCCAATAGCCTCTATATAGAATCATTCCTCTTCTGGACCTGCTGTGTAGCTCTATTGTGATGCAATTGCTGCATCCACAGCCTTGACTACCCACTGGAAGTCACCCATACATGTACTGAGTTTAAGGAAGCAGAAAGCTCTCTCACCCACCCTAGAAAAAAATTGTTTAAAAAACACCTTACCTCATAAATGTTGGGGTGCCACATTTTGGTCAGGAATCTGAAGGTAGGTGGTGAATATGGATAGTCAATAGGAAATTTAATGTGAGCCTGAAAAAAAGCAGAATATTTTAGCTATGAAACAGAACAAAAAAGACCAACAACCAATAACTACAATGAAAAGATTTGGGGAAAAATTCATTAAGGCTACTAAATTGCTCATTTTATGAACCAGTGCCCAAGCGGCCCCAGAGTATAACTCTATGCAATTTCTTATGAGCAAAACACTAACTAAACAAGAAAAATCAAAACACCTGGGCTGGTAATGCTCAGAAGACAAGCCAAAATGCATTTACCATGTCCTAATTCAAGACACACTATTCAACAGCTGTTGTTAAAACAGGATAAAATATACTGGAAAAGTTTTAAATTGAGAGAGAACTGCTCTCTTTTTTAGTTCAAAAGCAGACTAAAAAATTGTTTACTAAGCTGAATAGACCTGTTTTATATTTGCCTGTAAAAAAATTTAAAATTACTCTTCCCATGATGAAAAAAAGTTTTGTTACAAAACTTGCTCTAGTTATTTTGTCTTTCTTTGAAAGTTCAGCTAGTCTACCCACCTGTGTTTCTAATACTACATGTTTTGCCATCACAGGCATTTTTGAAGTCTCAACATCATCAGTGTCTGTTTAATTAGTCAGTGTACCTTGAGGAATATTGATGGGCAATGACAGCAAACATCCTGCAGTGGTCAATAACCATCTGTGGGGCACAACTCTGAGCTGAGTTGGTTGTGGGAAGGCTGCAGAGATCCTAGCACAGGAAATTAACTTCTCTGTGCTGTCCTGCCATTCACAGCAGTCTGAATATCAAGTGTCCAAAATATTTCTCTTTGGAAGGTGGACTTGCACACTGCTTGCTGCGCTGTGGAGCACAAACCCTTTCCTTGGAACTGCTCAACCCACCAAAAAATCCTACTGCCAGCCCAGCAAGGGATCTCCAGAGATGCATCTTCTGATCCTTCAAACACAGCCAGGTTCATTTGCAACAGAGAATGGAAGAAGAGATCCCAAAAGCAAGATTCATATTTATCCTGGTTTGAGACAAATTTAAGAGGAAACCTAGTCACCCTAGGACAACATGGTAAGAGCAGAATTCCAGGTCATTCTCCTCCACTTAAGTACCTAACTATGCCATTTGCTCAACAAGAGAAACTTTGGAAAGTTTTATTCCACAGAACACAGAAGCAGACAACCAAACAAATGGATTACAGTACTGTTAAGTACCTGGCTACAGCTTTACTTACCAGAACACACCTTTGCCCTACAACCCAAAATTTATTGGGTCAGAGTGTCAGTCAAGAAAAGAAGGTTTTCTCTTCACCTTTATGAAAGAAATTCACCAGTTCACATGGCCTTATGGTCAGTAGATGCCTGCTCATGACTGTGTGTGGGCATGTTACAGCAGTACTCAGGCCTCACCTCACAGTCACTGTCGGAACCCAGGACATCTTTCTGGATGCCCTGGATGTCTCAAAGCCCTGGCAGGGGCTCCGAGACCCTGGCACAAAGCCAAAGACACCACAGCCAAGAGATTTATGATCCACTTAAGCAATCCCATAGTTTAAGGCCAGTTGCACGAATGCCACTGCTCCAAGAACAGTGAGTGAATGGCTCTTGTCACCACACAGTCTGCTGCAGTAAGGACATGCCTGGGTCCACAACATGCTGCACTGTAGCACAGCAGAGATCTACCCAGGGCAGGGGATGTTCACTACAACTCAAGTTATTGCATCATGCTGCTGCAGACTCCTCCAGACACCGGGGTTTTCCCAATAAAGCTCATTCCTGTGCTTACACGCTGTTTTTGAGATCTAAGACACAAAACAGCAAAAGGACTGAGACTAAAAATGCAAGAGGCAGCAAAACTCAGGGCTGAGCTACCTACAAGATGTCTAAGCAAAATCTGTCTTCTACACAGCCACGGCTTCCAGGTGACCAAAACAAAAAGCATTGTATACATAAGCATTGCCAGCAGATTACCAGCACTGCCATGCTTATAGCCCATATAGATGCTCAAGGAGTGCAGGTCTCATTTCTCCCTTCTGCTTTCACATTGTCTAATTCCGAGGGGTTTGTCTCAGCAAGACCCCTCCAGAAGCTGAGCCTGAGGCTCCAGTATGTCCCTGTATGTGATACACACTCATGCAGATGCTGTAGATCCTGGAAAACAGTTCCAAATTTCTAAATCCTGTTTGACAAACATAGTTCTTTATTAGAGAAGGACTACCTGCCTACAATAACTATGACCATGGAACGCAGTGTTATGTCACATGAAGGATTCTCTTGAGCTCCAGGAACTGAAAATGCAACTAGAGAAACAAGAGAAATCTTTCCTTCCACATGCAGGCAGCCAAAAACCTAGCTTCCCTGTAATACATCACATATTTGAGAAAGCAGTCAATTGCATGGTGATCAGCTATTTCTAACGAGTCTGTAGCTCTTTAGCACACTGAGGCACCGTACTGGAACATAAAGCAAGTGAGGCTTCTCTACAAACTTGATTTCAGAGTCAAATGCCCCCAAAACAGAATTCCTTGCATTACAGGCAGGGATTTTTTCCCAAACAAAAAAAGCAACATTGTCAGGTCCCCACGGTGAGATCATCCAGAATCTGAAAGTGAAACCAAACTCTTTTCCAGGCCATTACAAACAGGTCTGAGAGAATTACTTCATCTCTTCTGCAAGAGAAACCATGGAAAGTTACGTAAGCCTACTCTGCTCTCAGTGAATGCTATTAGAGTTTCTGTGTGGGTTAAGCAAGCCAAGAATTTCCAAGACAAGCTGCAAGACTGCTTGCAAAATGCAGCAACAGCCACAATTAGAGGTCACTTTTTCCCCTCACTGAAAGCCTGATTCTAAACATGTTAAAAAAGAAAAAAAGACCAAACTAAGCAATCAACGCAATTTTAAGTAGAGCTCACAGAATAGTTTTTCCCCAATTTCACTGATATAAGGCCAAAAAAAAACAACTGTTAAACTCAGCCAGGCTGCTAGGTACTAGAGAGTGGCAGAGTTTTCAGGAAGCTTGTTGTTAGCTCAGTTACAGCCACACAAACTAATTTAGGAGGACTAAATATGCAGCTCAGTTCCCTGCTGCAAGTTCCAAACAGTTACTGCATTCATCATGTGCCTGACTCCTCAAACTGAGCTTAAACAGAACAGAAATAATCCTATTTTGGTGCTGATTTTAGCCAGCTGTATGCCATGGCTTCTTGACATCACTGAATATATTCAATAGATAGGAACATGAAGACCAGTCACAATCAATCCATTCCTTCCTTCACCAGTTTGCAACTAGTCATGTTTATAATCCCTAGAAAAATAATAAACTCTTCTAAATAGTCCAGCCTGACACAAAATACAGCCCTTACAGACATTTACAGCTACCACAAAAAATTCAACTTCCAAATTACACCATAGTACATATTTTAAGAATATTGCTACCAGAATAGTCACTTTGTTTCCTATTTTACTGCTTCCCTGCATCTTCAACAGAGACTGCTCTTCAGGTTTGTTAATCTTCTTTAAGGTGGATAAGACAAAAGCACAGGTTCTGCTACGTATGCCAGAAAAATACACAGTCTCACTAGATCTTATGTGACTGAAAGTATAAACCTAATATTTCTGCCAACCACTGAATTATTCACTGATTCAGTCACTATGAATAACTATTAAAGCAACTTTGTTTCTTGAGATCTTGCCACACACTTGACTCAACACTTATACTTGTGTCACAGCTACTCCAAGCACTCAAGGCTTGGGGCAGAGAGGCTGTAAAGCTGCCTGGCAGCAAAGAACCCAGGGGAGCTGGTTGACAGTGGCTGAACATGAGCCAGCATGTGCCCAGGTGGCCAAGCATCCTGGTCTGGATCTGCAACAGCCAGGCCACTGGGACTGACACGGGCAGGACTCCCTCCCAGCCTCAGTCCTTGTTCCAGCCTAGCTGTAAATGACACTTCAGGAGTCTGACACTGTTTTTTACAGCCATTTCAAGCTGACAAAACTGAGATCCCTGATTTTTAGGCAGAAAGGGAAGAAATGTTGAATCCATCCTACCTACCCAGTGCAGACAAGCCATGGGGGAAGCACACACATTTCCTGGAAAGCCACCAGGATCACAACTATCTGATTAGAGGATAATGGAAAACACCAGCAGCTTTTATAACAGCCAGCATAAATTGCAGCTGCTTTGTGTTCCTGGAAGTGCCATTTAGAGATTACTTTTATTTCAAAACATTGCAAGCTTAATGCCAGCCCTTCTAAAACTCTGCATTAGTGAGGGCAAGGACCTTTAGCAAATTGTATTTAAGATCAGATACAAAGGAAGTGGTTGGGTTTTGAAATTATTTTGTTGTTATTTGTAATTATCTGCTACAGCCAGCCCACAGATAAGCTCATACTGACTGGACAGGTAGTACCAAGGTCTCTTACAGATCACCCACCTGCCCTGGCAGACTTGCAGACAGTACAAGGACTCCTCACTTTCCTTCTTAAGGGGCACAACCAGGAGGCTCCCCACTGTGCCCTGCTGGATGCTCCACACACTACAGGAACAGGAACTACAGACCACTAGCAGGTTAAGTGGTTGTATCTAATCCCACAAAAAGCCCTTTCCTGCTTCTGGTGCATCACGCATTATACAATTCATTTAACGGAATCTCCTCTTCCACATTAAGCCTGGATTAGTGCATGCAGTAATAAACACTATGTGCTGGAAAGCATGTACAGTAGAGGTCAGCTGTACAGTCAGTACCAGCAGACACTTTCTCACAACAGTGAGATTTAAAGCACCTCAGTATCATCCAGCTCACAACATGTAGAACAGCATTATAGCCATCTCATTGCACGGTCAACTATTTGGTGAGGAAAAATATAGGGCCAACACAGCTATTTCAGTTCCATTTGTGACTTACCACCTAAGTAATTTCTTGTGGCAGACCTGGGTGCTAGCCTGGTACTTTAAACTCAGTTATTGCTTCATTTCCCAGCAACACTGTATCAGTGTTTATTGCCATCTGTTGTGCTTTCAGAGAATAAGAGGAGCACGTC